GACCGATACCTTGCACGGAACAATGTGTGCAAGGATGCTTTTGTAAGAAGGATTACATCCTCGATCACAAAGGTGGTGTATGTGTTCGTGAAACTGAATGCAGACGTAAGTCAAGTTAATATTTCGACTGAAGTAAGTCGTTTACGTTGGCTAGTATCCGAAAATAATATTCTGAGAGCAAATTCAAAATTCAACTGTTTTCCTGAATGTTTCCGTCACGATGCCGCCAGTGTGAAACTTTGCAAACAGCAGATGAACCTACGAAAATGGTGATGGCTCGTTCATTAGTATGCACTGAATGGGGAATTTCAGAAGGAGAAATCATGTTTGATTCTCGTTTCTTCGCCATTTGTTTGGTTCGTGGAGCAGCCGTAATGTACCGTGCAAACAGCGGGTGGAGGAACTGAGGTCGTGACGATTACATTATCTAACGATGACGATGAGAATTTCAGCAAAGTGTGCACTGAATGAGGAGTTCAGAGAATGTGGAACGGCGTGTCCTGCGAATTGTGATCAGATGGGACCGATACCTTGTACGAGGCAATGTGTACGAGGTTGCTTTTGCAAGAAGGGTTATGTACTCAATCGGAAAGGTGGAGTGTGTGTCCGTGACACCGAGTGCAAACGTAAGTGGATCATTTTCGGGTTCTGCTTATTCGATTGATTTAAATTCCCGCCTTTAAAGTCAGGGTCAGACTCAAATCATGGGCTCGACCTGGCTCCAGTGTCGCGTTTAGAATTGTGGCCTTAGTTATGCTTTTCTGTTTGTCAACGTTTTGTGATTTTTTGCATCAATTTGGGGTGAAACGTTTCCCTAGAAATGCGAAATAACTGAATGTCCATCATAGTGGGCTCTTCATTAACTCCATTCGAAAATCTCTGTACTTGTGAGCTAATGAAATCCTCACTTCCATTCAAGTTGCTCTTCAGATAGTTTTTCAGTTAACTGGCAGAAAGAGCTGCTTGCTAGGGAAGCACAGTTATCGTTCACAGCTAGAAAGTGAAAATTAATTCTCAAAAAACAGACCCTAATGTTGTTAGGTCGCCCATGAAATCCTTTAAGTTAATGCGAATATTCGAATGCTCGAGACCATCACCAAATTATTTTCAATGATGTGATTCTAAGAAACTGTGGTTCGTAGTTATCGGAGATGAAGATATGCGTTTCAGACAGATGTAGGCCGAATGAACAATTCAAGGAATGTGGAACAGCATGTCCG